ACACATCTTCGAGCGGAACGCAGAACTCCTTATGGTCTGGGTGTTCCTCAGTTGACCCTGAAATGGTAGGTGGGACCCTGATGAGTTCACTTAGGGTCTGGGGCCACTGGCTAGTGGTTAGAAACTGGCCACCGAGCAGATGTGCGGGGGCTGCTTCCGCCTATGCAGCTGCTTGGGGTTTGGCCTGAAGTCACCTTCTGGGTCACAGTCAGTGACAACCTCAGGCTGAGCTCTGCAAAGGAACCATACCTAGCCTGCCAGAAGGCAGTCAGGCCTCCGGGCCCTGTCCCCACCTGTGTACTTCCTCTCTGCCTTGCTGCGCTGGATGTACACACCCCATATTCCCATGTGATCGATGGGGTGACAGACTCAGAGAGGCAAAGCAGCTTGTCCCTCACTCAGTCCTACCGAGAACCAAGCTTCAACTCAGGATCACCAATCTCTACATACGCATGGATGCTCCCGCCCTCTGGTCTTCCTTAGCATGTCTCACACCAAGGAGACTAGATATTAAAACCCCAATTCACGCCAGCTGAGCCATTACAGCTCTCAGTGGCTAGGTGGTGGTTGGTGGTTATGTGCCGTGGAGTCGATTCCGACTCATAGTGGCCCTGTATAGAGTTTCAGAGGTTGTAAATCTTTATGGGAAAGCTAGGGGATTTTATTTAACAAAGGTTTCACTGAGCCTGCCTGGGGTCTCGGACCCTGCTCAGCCATGACATGCTTGTCCATTTTCTCTGAAACTTTTATGTTCTCCTTTTTAAAAGAAAAATGCTATTTGGTCTTACTCTCAGGGCATTGTGAGAACTGAAGGAGATAAGCCATGGAACATACTTGGTGGGTGCCTTTTTGCCGCCGTGGCTGTGTTTTCTTTAATCCCCTCCCCCAGCCCTGGTCTGCTCACAGCTGTTCCTCATCCCCTCCCTTAATTGCACTGCGTCCTCCCACCAAGGAAACGGCACCCCAGTGGCAGGAGGCCCAGGGTACCCCCTGTTCTCCAGCCTGGCCACACCCTCAGGATAGGACAACCAAAGCCAGCTGCTCTGCAGATGTTTTGTCAATTGCAAGCAAAACCATAGACTACAGGTCTCTGGGGGCACTGATAGTGTCCAGGGGGAGGCAGAGGAGGACACTGAGGAACCTGAGGTGGGGAAGAGAGGTGAATCAGAGGGGCTTTCTAGAGTAGGAGGTTAGTGGGTAGAACCCAAGAATGGCCCAAGAGGCAAGGGGGCTGGTAGGTAGGAGTCAGGAGCTCAGAGGAGTTGGAGGAAGCGGAAGCAGGGAGGAATGAAGCTGGAGAATTGGTCAGGCCTCTAAGAATTTGCCTGGTCAGGAGGCCTGCAGGGGCTACTGCTGACCTGCCCCCATTTACCTATCCCCATCCCGGATTGAAAGAACTTTAGAGTCAACAAGGGACTCCCAGACTCTCCTGAGCTGCCTTAGGAGGTATTGAGCTTCCCATCACTAGAGGGATGCAAGCAAACATTCACAAAGGGACCCAAGCACTGGGCAGCAGTCTGGACTAGCTGACCTCTCCCAGGCTGCAGACAGAGTCTAGGAGGTCTTATCTATCCCAAGCCAGGCCAAAAGAGGCACAAGGGACTTGACTTGCCAGCGAGGCGTGTGCTGGAGTTGGTGCGGGACCCCTCCCACGAGCATCCCACTGAGTTACACGGCTGGGCCCTTTCCCTTTCCCCTCTTCCACACCTTATTTGCCAGCTGACCCCAACTGCTCCCAGCCCAGCCAAAACAGGGTAATAGCACAGGAACAGGCTGTATCTGACTTACTCCCTGGAACAGAATGACTTGATTCTTCAGCAAAAACAGTTCCTGGAAGGGAAAGGATCTAGAGTCTGAGTCTAAAGGCTCCCTAGAGGTCCCCAGGTCCCAGGCCCTGGCTGGAGTAACTGGAGGATAGATTTGCCACATAGCCTGTGACCCTGAATATTGGTGGTGCCAACAACAGCTTGCATTTAGGAAACACAAAGCCCATGCCAGGCACTGGACTAAGCTTGTGGTATACATGACTTCACTTTGCCATGGCAACTCTTGGGTAGGTGTCAGTAGGCACCATTTATAGATGAGAAAATAAAGACAAAGGTTACGTGATTTTTCTGGAGATGCACAGCTAGTGACGGAGCCAGGAACTAAACCCTGAGAAACTGACTCAAGTGTCCTTTACGTCTACACTGTTCTGCTTCCTTTTTTTGCCACCGAATGCCTCAGTCTTTCCATCTGTGAGATGGGGAGGGAGTTGGACATAATTTCTGAGACCCACATCCACCAACCTGGGGTTATAAAATATGTTCTTCCCCACATGTGAAAGAAAAGAGGGGATGGGGTGGTGGAGTTGGGTGGGGAGGTAGCCCAGAGAGTGCTGTACAGGTGAGTGGATCAAGGGGCATCCCAAGGTCTTTCAGATGGGGCCCAGGGCAGGAGAACCCAAATGTCCTTCTCATCTGCTGTATATTGTTCTGTGCAGCCAAAGCTGCTTTGAGGCCCAGTGTACCAGGGTGTGAGTAACGGAAACCAGGAAGTGGGGGCTTCTGCAACGGAAATTCCATCACCTGACTTTGTTCTCTTGGTCTTTGGTTTTCATGACAGCTTGGGCCTGGCTCTCCCAGAACCTGAAGAAAGGGGAAGGGGAGTCATCTTGTAGGCTCAGTGGCTTCTCCCAAGGAAGACAGCAGAGACAGGCCAGGTTAGGCAGGGACTAGCTCTGCTGCTGGCTCTGCCTCTGTTTTGAGGGTGATTTGTTGTTGTTGTTGTTAAGTGCCATCGAGTCGGTTCCGACCCATAGCGACCCTGTACAGGGTTTCCGAGGGTGTAAATCTTTACGGGAGTAGAAAGCCTCATCTTTCTCCTGCGGAGCGGCTGGTAGTTTCGAACCGCTGACCTTAAGGTTCGCAGCCTGATTCGTAACCACTACGCTACCATGGGGAGTGCTATTACAGTCATCTCTGGAGCTCAGTTGTCTTAACTGCCAGGTCCCCAAATCTCAGGCTTAAGAAGGATCTGAGTGGTACCCTTGCTCAGAATTAGGTGCTCAGTTCAAGGATCCAGAGTTCCCAAGGTGGGAAAGCTCTTCAAAGGCACACCAAGCTGGCACCGCAGGCCCGTGCCAGGCACCTGCATGCTTGGAGTAGTAAGACCCAACCTCACTGGAAGAGTTTGGACTGGTGCTGGGGATAAGGCTGCCAACACGCGCTGAGCACCTGTTTGGTCCCAGATCCAACCCTTCCTGCACATTGGCTGAAGGCACCTTCAGCCCAGCACTGAAAAGGCAAACATCTTCTCCATTTTTGCAGGCTCAGAGATGGGCTGAGACTTCCCAAAGTTACAGAACAAGTCAGTAGCAGAGGCAGAATTCAAATTCGAATTGGTCTTAGTCCAAAGCCCAGTAGCCTTTGGAAAGAGACAAGGCCATACCTTACTCTGATGCTGGTTGATAAGGGCTAACAAGAGGACTGGCTTCCTGGGAAGCAGAGAAATGGGCCAGCTACCAGACTATTTATTATTGGCACATGGAAGGTTCTCCCAAAAAAGCCATAGAGTGAATGGTGTTTGGACTCACAGCACTAGGAACACACCAAGGACAATCTGTCAGCAGGAGAGACAAGTGCCATCTTCCAAAGAACAGGAAGTCAGATGCAGTCAGAGGGCTGGTGAGATGGTCCCTTCTCCCTCCCGAGCAGGGTCCCAGGCCCTGCAGAGGGCAGCAAGAGTGAAGACGGGCTCTCCAACCAGCCCCCAGCCCCAAGTACCAGTGGAGAACTCACCCCAAAACTTTCTGATGGCCTCCAGCAGCCCCCAATTCTAATCTCATGGTGCAGGGAGCCCAGTGAAGGGAAGGAACAGCACAGCCATGCCCTCTGTGCCTCAAAGTGGGTAGACCCGAACCCAGGACCACAGGCAGGGAACAAGATCCAGCCCCTCCTGTTCCAATGTCTTTCAGTCTTTCGAGTCTAGTGGTCCAGAGCATTCACCACAGTGGGACTTTGGACCAGGACTGCTCTAAATTTTTATTTCTTTGTATTTCTTATTGGGATCTCTAAGGAGCTCTGGTAGCATAGTGGTTACAAATTGGTCTCCTAATCTCAAGGTCAGCAGTTTGAAACTACCAGCTGTTCCGTGGGAGAAAGATGAGGCTTTCTGCTCCCGTAAAGATTTACAGCCTCAGAAACCCTGTACAGGGT